CTACGTTTCGTATGCTCTGGAGCGTGATCCATGGATCTATAGATCGATAGATCGATTCACTTTCGACACCGACCCGCGTGACAGCGCAGTCATTGCCAAGGCTACTACTCTTTTGTTATGTAATGTCTGTCTGTCTATTGTTGTAGATTTTGTATGCTTTATGCTAGTTTGGATACTAGTTTCCGTCTATGATTCTTTCCGTTTCGCCCTTTGCATAGTGATATAATCTCAATTCAAATTGATTATAATTTCAGTGGATTCTTTTGTGTAAAATGTAGGTTTTAAAATTTAATTTCGATGTAAGGCAATTTCGATTTAATAACTTAAAAACATGTTTCTTTCTGACTATTAATATTTAAAATGTATTTAACTAACTGTATTCCTGCGACTTTGCTCCCGTATGACGCAGTTCCCGTAGGTAAAAGAATTTATAAATTGGTCCAGTAGTTCCGAAGCCTAATCAATGCACACAATCAGTTCTTTCCTGTTTGAAATATTAGTAAAGATCTTTGTTTATTTATTCATTGCATTGCACACATGTGGCTTAGAAACTAAATACACAAATTTATTTTAATAATATTCATATGCACCTCGATAGCCGTGGCGATATGGAATGATAGAAGGAAAACGGTTAGACATTCCATTGAAAATATACATGGTTAAATTTTATCTAAAACTTTTTATAAATCGACTATTTTTTTTTTTGGTATTCGGCTAATTTACGAAAATTTTGTCCAACAATAGCAAATTAAGAAATCTTCTTTGAAGTAAATAACTTACGAAACGCATTAAGAAGGTTGATAATATTGTATGTAACATAGATTACTTATTGGTAACGGGAAGCATTATATGCGGGTGACTTACTTTAAAAATTTCGCAGGCATTGTCGCGGGAACACAGCTAGTAATAAATCACGTCTTTGAACTAGGGTTTTAGTTAATAATTAAAGTTATTTATTACACAGATAAAATAATCTGTAATGTATTTTATCTTAGAAGGATGTTTATGTTTGGATATTAGTATTTATTGTCAAGACTACTAACCTCGTTGTAATTTTCCATAGCGTTAAAAAAGGACTTTACAGTCTTTACATAGGTATCCAAACTCATTTGAAATACCTACATGGTGTCTATCAAGCGTGAAGGGCAACCAAAATGGCGGCCGCCTTTTTTTTTAGCGGCAAACAATTAGTAAATGTATTTTCGGACCGGACGAGATTTTTAACGCTTCCAAATCGATTATTTCAGGTGTGTGATTCGTTTTTTTTCATTTCGGCCATTTTGTTCCTTTTTAGTTATTCAGTAACAGGAAAATAGGTTTTAGTCATATTCGAATGTCTGTTGAAAATGTTTATATATGTATTAGTGCTTAGTGCTGTAGTTTTATTAAATTGTCGAAATCATTAAAACGATCAAGTATGTTAAACATATATTCATTATAATAACTTTTTCTTCTTGTAATTCTCTATAAGTGATGTGACGAACTTAAAATATGGTCTATAGCACCCTCACTTCGGCGATACTACAACATCCCTTTGCCTGACCAATCTAAACTTTGAAACCATTATCTTGGAAGACAATTCGAAAACAGAACAGCAATAAACTTCACCATAGCCAATTATCGACTGTCTTTAGTCAAAACAGTAACCCGTCCACTACCGTTAGGGTTTTAACACAAAAAAATGTGTCATCTCGGTCTCAGAGACCCAAACAAAAGGGGGATTAATTTTTAAATTCCATTGTGCGCCAATGGGTTTGCCACCGCGGTGGACGATTTTGACAAGTCGTTAACGGCAGTGTTTAGTATTATGATTAGATTGTGGACACGATAAAAAAAAAAAACTTAACGATATTTCAGCGATGACCAAAAAGATAAATACTGACTTGGAAAAAAACAACCACCACATTGGTTTCTGAAAGTACACATTTTGGTTTGTGAACTTTTATTTGATTGACAATACTGGAATTCCATCAATAACAGCAGGTTTCTAGACTGTTAACTAAGTATTTCTGTAAGCCATGCTGTCAGTTTCTAATCGTACAGCATGAAGACCTTTTAGTGATAAATAATCAAGAAGTAATTGTATCCTCTTTTATGTAATAAATTTTTTTTTACAAGATTTTATTTAGACCTGTCCCGGAGTTTGTCTTTCAGTAGTCAAATCTTGCGAGCTAAATTTTACCCATTTCCCAGTCTCCGTTTGAGCTGAAATTGAATTATACCTTAATTTCCGATGACAATGCAATATGGATGATGACTGGGTTAAAAAGAAATTCTAGTCTATGACAACCCCGTATCATTTAGCTACCCATATAGATACCCTGGTTTAGCTAATTAGGTGAAATAATTTTTAAAGTCGGTCCAGTAGTTTCAGAGCCTATTCGATGCAAACAAACAAACAATCAAATTTTTCCTCTTTATAATATTAGGATAGACATACCCAGTATAGATAACAAACATTAACATATATACTAATAAATTATTAAATTATCTACTGAGATGGTTTTGTACTTGTTGTCCCTAATTTCTATCATTATGGTAGTAGAATATAATAAAATTGTTGGACATGGAGACTACTTACACATACTATTAGTATAATAACAAAGGTTTTACTTATTTCAACTTCACTTATTTCAATGAAGTCGAAAACAACCATAACTTACCAATAAAAGGTTATGTTCTTGGGTATTTTCTTTCTTCCGTGAGACTTGCAGCCCACGATTACCTACACTCCCTTTTATCACAAACGTCCCTTAACTCTCAGGTTTTACTATCATAAACACTTTGAGTCTTCTTTGAATAATACTTTATTATTTGTAATTTATTCTCAGGGATAAACCAATTACCGTCTAAGTAATAATATTACTATGATGATACCAAATTCTCGTTTATTTATATAAGATTAAGAGAATATAACAACTTTTTAATCTAGTAGTGGAAAGCTGTAAATACATTTAAATTTACAGCAAGTTTGACAATGAACTTGTGACAACCTTGATAAACAAGAATCAAAAGTGGATTCGTTATATCATTTTACTATTATAGGCAAATTAAATTGCTTTACTAAGAGACAGATAGCTATTTTCAACTAACTTTTATTATTGTTTCTATGCTTTAGTCATTATTCTAAGATATTATTAGCAATATAAACTTTAATTCAATTATCTATTAACAAAATTTAAAAATAATTTAAATATTGGTATCTAACCTGCATATTGAACGATCGCGGTTGAGGCATTCGAGCTGCAGTTGAACGACAAGTGGTTTTATGAAAAATTAAGAAAAGTTTGTAATTTTGTAAAGTAAAGTACCTTTCTATTAAAGGAAGAATAGGAAACAAGAAAAAAGATTGTTTTATTTGGAGCTGGATAAATAATTTGATGATATGAACATCCAACTTAATTAAAAAAAAAGATAGTAACTTTGTCTTTGATGCTTTTAAGATATAAAAGTGACCACAGACGGTTGCCGATCAAAAAAAAGGTCCGCCGACATTATTCATGCTTACAGTTTAAAGTCAAACCTCCGCTACTGTTGTTAAAAGAGGGTCGGTAAGACCCTTTCAAACTTAAAAAGATTAACCACAGAGAACATCGAGGAAGGGTTAGGTTTTTTTTTCGCAGTGGTCAACCATAGACAATTATGATATATGACTTTATTTGCTATTTTTATTGCGGTTTCTTTGTTTTTTTTTTTTATGAAGACGAATCTTTAGAGATTTACGTAGAAGCATTTTATACGGTGCCGATTTTCTTTCGCTTAATTTTTTTTTTGCAATTATTGTTATATTCGATATTGAATGAAAGATATGGTTAACTTGACGTTAATTGGAATTGTGGAAGGCAAGCGTTAGATCTCTTTGAAAGCTATACAGAAATGTGAAACGAAGTAGATGACGTTGATTGCAATATTTTTATGGGTTTTACTAAGTTTTACGTATTCCTAACTGATTTCCCGTGACTTTGCCGATGTAGCTTCCTATAGGCGATAGAATTTTTAAAATCGGTCCATTAGTTTCTCTTTTTAATATTAGTATGGTTCTTGTTCATTCAAATCATCATTCGGTCCGAAATTGTAACTTTAAATGTTACATAAATCTCTATAATTGTGATAGATTACACCTTTGAAAGCGATTGCTATATATTTTGAAATTAGATAAATAGGCCACTGTTTTTCACTATTATCCGACCAAAATAAGTCAACACGTGCACAATTAAACGTGTTCTCCTTTCTCAGTGTCAATTTGTTCTAGGTTAAGCTGACAGTGGTTTATATTAGTACTTTTTATAGATTTAGTCCTCGTTTTGTAGTCTTTAAGCGCAGTCTAAAGTTAAAGTCTGCTGACTAGAGATGCACCGAATAGTGGTTTCACTGAATAACCGAATACCGAATAGAATTCGGTTAATCTTTACCGAGCGGTTTCGGTTTACTATTTTGTTTTTATTTAGCGAGAGTGTTTCTAAATGCTCTCTGTCTTTATGTATCTCTGCTATAGTGTCTTTTATTGTAAAGGCACCTTAGTTTGTGCTTATAAAAAATTTTAAAATTTTAATTGAGATATTTTAAATAAATGATATATCACTACATAGTATAAAACAAAGTCGCTTCCTCTGTCCCTATATCCGTATGTACGCTTAAATCTTTAAAACTACGCAACGGATATTGATGCGGTTTTTTTATAGATAAAATTTAAATGTTGACTATTGTGTATAAAACAAATATTTCAGATTTAAAGTATAATTATTTAGTTTCATTAACTTGATTCACATTCTTTATAGGATTTCTTTGACTTTTAAAACAAATTTTACATAATAAGTTTCGCCTTCTAGTTCTACACCGTATCGTATAGTAAATAAATAGAACAAATTCTCGTACCGAATATTTTCGGCAACAAAACCGAATAATTCGGTCGAATACAAATAGTGAAAATATGCCGAATACGCCGAATACAGATCGAATATTCCTCGCATTTCTAATATTGACCCTTATTTCTTTCGCAGGAGAGTACGTGCTCCAGGGTGACCTTCCTCGTGAGCTGGTCGCCTCCGAGGAGTCAAGATTCGACTTCCTTGAAGAAGCTCTGCAACTTGTTGAACTAGGAGACGAGGCGGAAGCTAAGGATGACCAACCTGAGGTAAAATAAACCTTTTTTATATCAGTAAAAAGACGTAGTATACATGGCGCCCGCGATCATTATTGCTAAGCAACTTTCGAAAGGTCTGTCACGGGATGGGTGACCGAAAAATTATTATCTACGTTGTACGTTGAGCCGTTGGTCCCAGTTGCGTTCGCAGTCATTAATACCCTCCAATCCACATTCGGTCAGCGTGGAGGGTTATGGCCCATCCTCTTTAACCATCCCTAAGGAAATCCTGAGATGATTATGATGAATGATGATATTTTGTTGCAGGCGGTAGAGGGCAGCAGCAGCGGTGGCGAGATGCTGCACCCGGCGATGCGGCATGTGCCGCACCACCCGTTGGCGCACTACCACAACCAGGTAAGCGACATCTGTTGTCAGAGTTATAGAATTTGGTTCTCCGCGCGTCGCTAGATGGTGTTGTTTTGATTTTTATTTCCTTTTGCTTAATAACTGATGGGTAACTTTAGGCCGGGTGAAAAGTGACCAATAAAGTTTTTATAAAAACCGCCCAATTAAGCCTTCCATAGGGTTAAAAATCGCGACTGTTATATGGACACCCATTTATTTTTATTATTTGTTGTTATAGTGACAACAGAATTACATAATCAGTGAAAATTTCAACTGTCTTCATGAGATACAGACGGACAGCTTAGTCTTATTAAAAATAGGATTTCCCACTTTCGCTACGGCACCTTAAGAAACAACACTAATGTTTACAATTAACCAACGAAAAGTCTCTTTACGAGTCATATTCTTCTGCAAATAAGATACGAACTTCTTCAGATTAGATATACTGCTCGTTGCAGAAAATTTCATTAGTTAAATGCCACATTGCCCTAAATTTGAATGTTCTAAATTTGAAAATGTCAAATTCATTGATGAGAGCTTAAATCGTCATTTAACTTTATTGAATTTCTAAGGAGAATGAAATCAATTTAAAACCTCTTTTCTTGTTTTGTGATTAAAACCTTATTTGAGACATACTAATATATTCTCTTCAAATAAACTTTTTGAAAGCATTTTTTTTCGGAAATAAAGTCTTTTGGCTCACAACAAGACTACAAATGAAGCTGGGCGTTGAGACCAAGACCACCTAATTCTCTTATCAAGTCCAGCATCTTTTGATTGCGAAAGGCTTCTAATCGCACTTCGAGCACTAATTTTTCTGTCAAAATGAAATCCTGATATATAAAGTTTATGAAAAGATTTTGTGTACGCGCCCTTATAAAATCATAGTATTACTATAGGGCAATACCATCCCAATGCACATAAAAATAATAAAAAAAATATAATCCCATAGGTTACCCATCCCAAAACCAACCTTTGGTTACTTAACATTCACAATCACCTACCGATAAGTTATTTTATTTTTGTAAAGCTGCTTCAGAATAAACTGCGTAAATTCTACGGATGATTCCTTTTTTGGTGGAACATGGGATACACGAAATGTTTTTATTCTCGTTAGAGAGTCTCATAAAGTTGAGGTGATAAATGGCTCCGTGTCATTGGTCAGCTGCCACACACGGCGTGTGAAGATGGTGTGTGGTGCAAGTGACGAGAATATACAGATTTGTAAAAAAAAAAAAAACAAAATTAAGTCGGGAATCCGAAATTTTATATTTTGTTTTCTTTTTCATAGTGTACCGTATTCTTAACTTTAATTTTATACACATTAAAAAAGGGATTTTAAATAATATTATATGCGAAATATTGTAACTGCGGCCATTTTAGATTTAAAGGTAATTAGAATACACATAGATGCATTAAGAACTAAAGGTAATACCAAAGCTTAAGAGAAAGATGGTAAATATATTAATTTGTTCCACTGATGGTTGAGCTAAATCTGCAGGCCAATTATTGAAAGAGAATTCACGCCCTTTCTCTTTCCGAGCGACTTCTCTGACCACTGAGCTAACCAAGACCATTTTTCATTAATAATATTTACCAGTACAGCTGTCTGAATGATCAATGGATTAAATATAATAATTACAACAGGTAGTTTAAAATATTTCTTAGACTGACTCTTTGTTTATCTATACTAATATTATAAAAAGGAAAGATTTGATTGATTGTTTGTATCAAATAGGCTCCGATAATACTTGACCAATTTTAAAAATACCTACATCTATGGGAAGTTACATCATATGCGGTGAACATAGACTTTAAATAATTTACGAAGTCGCGGGAAAGCCAGTCTTTATACGTAAATTACAGACTTATGAAACCCAATTATGATGTAACTTTTAATATAAGTCCAATAGTTTCGGGGTCTAAGCGATGCAAACAAACAAACAACAAAATCTTTCCTCTTTATAATATAGTATAGTCCAGCTTTCCGCCAGAGGCTTCCCCGCATAGTTACACTATTCCTCGATAGTACATTTATCACTAGGGAACCGTTAAACCAGTAAAGTATCCTATATGTTAATTTCAACCGACATTAGTTTTTGCATTAAAGAGTAATAAGTAAACAACTTTCATCATAATCATCACCAGCCATTAATTTCAAGCAAGTCGGATAGGGAGAATGGTAGAGGATGACCCACCGCGCTGGTCCAATGCGGATAAGTGGGTATTAATGACTGCAGATGCTGCTTAACGTGCTTTCCCAAGCACGGATTCCGAGATAATAAATGTTTGGTCACATCCTATGACCGATCGTTGCGAAAGTTGCTTGGCAACTGTAGCTGCTCGTCGAGCCATCGAGCGCAAATCTTCCTTGCCTTGCCTAAGCGATTTCTTTGCCTTACTAATATTAATTAGTAAGGCAAAGAAATCGCTTTCTCCAATACCTTGTACTGCAAAATCTTGCACAAGGTACACACACGCCGTTTCTTTCATCAATCAAATTTTGTAAAACACGCATTAGACAAATTGTTAATGTTTTTTTTTTATTAACATTTTGTTTTGCTACCGATGTTTTTTAGACTGAACTTATTTTTTTCTAATTATTTTAAAAACGTTTTTGTCGTTGTTTTTCTTGTTTTGATGACACATATGTACAGTTATTTTTTGAAGCGGAACTTAGCGGTTTCATACGAGTGCCAATCGATGGTATTAGTGTCGCTTATGTTTTGTTGATTATTTTTTTTTTCTTAATCTTAATTTTCATATACCGCCAGTTTTGCCCGCGTGGCCTCTAGGGAACTGTTTATTTTGATATCGAATCATATCATGACACGGATATAAATTACAATGACAAAGTTGAATAGTAAACAATTATTACTATAGTAACGTTTTAATCCCCTAAACAAATTTCCGCTCCCGTTCCCATCCCTTTATTTAATAAAAATTGTAGCCTGTCTCCACCGCATATGGTGTAGATTCTCGTAGATAAAAGAATTTAAAAAATCGGTCCAGTAGTTTAGGAACCCTGATGCAAATAATCAATAAAATCTTTCCTCTTATAATATTAGTACAGACTAGCCGTTCTCTTGCGATTTTGGACGTGGATATTATATCTAGGGTTACCACCCGTTCTTTATAATAAAGTATTGTACGTTATTTCAGAAAATTGTACTCTATACTCTATGAGAACAATAAAGTACACGAAAATACTTTATTTCACATGATTTGATTTGTTTGTGATTTTGAGGCTTAGTCCTATATCCTATGTCACCCGCGTATAATGTATGAAAGAATTTTCATGATCGAATTAGTGTTTCCGGAGATTATTACAAAAAATCAAACAAAGTAAGTAACTTTAGCTCTTTATAATATAAGCATAGACTATATAATTTTGTAAAACTGTTTTGTACTTGTATTTGTAAATTGTGTTATGTTAATTATAAAGGATTTTCTATTCTAATATGTTATAGAGGAAAGTTTTTGTCGTTTGTTTGTGCATTTAACTTCAATCTATATTTTCGAAATTTGCAAATTTGTACGAAAGTCATCTGTATAAGCAATCCAAAGATGTATATCCCCAAACTCATTGCTTAAGAATCCGAAACAAATGATTTATTCCAGCTCCAGCTAGTAAGATCAGGTACATACCATATGTCGATAAAAATATACAATAAAATACCAAAATACATTAAAGATATAGAATTAAATGCAGTATTTTACAAACAGTTCAAAAAATATTTAATAGACTGGTGCTACTATAATTTAAAGGAATTCTTGGATTAGAAACTTGTAATTGACGGATTGTTTTTGTTTATAATTGTGTTGTTTTGTGTTAAATCAATTGTAACAATTGATTTAACTTAACTTAAAAATTAAATAGTTTTAAGTTAATGTTATAATTATTTAATGGAGATTTTATGTCTGTATTAATTGTAATTCTGTGAAGCGATGTATGTTGCAATGTTCTTGTAGGACACATGTTGAGGATAATTTATATGTAAGCACATATGTACCAACATGGACCAATACATATTATGACTATGACTAACTACTGGACCAATTTTAAAAAATCTTTCACTTACGGGAAGCTACATCACATGCGGTGGACATAGGCTTATAATTTACGCGGGCGAAGTAGCGGGACTATAGCTAGTCTGTTATTATTGTATAGTTTAAGTTATCGCGGTTCCGTAACTCAAAAAAGTAAATATTCAGATCAATTCAATGATTTAAAAAAAGATGTCCGTGTATCGATTAGGTGGACATCGATTTATGATTGTAACAACTCGAGATGTAAAAAGATAAAATGCCATCGGTATAAATGTATTTATCATTCTTTTAACAGCGTCCGATACAAGATTTAATTAATAATAAATTGTCTATAGTGTAGTGGTTATTGTTGCTGCGTTTGTGGATGCTAAGGAACTTTCGAAGAAGTCGGATGGGTGACCAAAAATTTGTCATTTCAAATTCTTCCGTGCCACGGGAGTCATGTTTCTATCTTATATTCTAAACTAGTTACTTATCCTAATTTTAAATTTTAATAAGGTTTGTAAAGGACACAAGTTACAAACAAAAGTATTTTTTTTTTCTATGAAATCACAGTTACTTGTATTTTGCTGTCAATGTGAGGCACTACCCAAAATTTTGATGGCGCGAAATCGGCGGGAACTTTACCATAGACAATTACTTTTTTTCTTAATTCTTAATCCCTGTGCTGTCACAAATGTTTGTACAGGCAAAAGAATTTTAATTATTCACAAACGTTCACCTGAGTGTGTGCAGAAGAACACGGTAGCTGGGTAAACGTTTTTTTTTCGAATATGTGTTTACGCTAGTGCTGTCATGTTTATCGTTTGTATCGACATTAGTTATTTTTTTATTTCTAACTAATAAAACTAGGCTTTGGTCGATAGATTTTTTTTTTGTAGATTGTTTTCTGTTATAATCTGTGCGTGTGTCGTGACAAAATAATAACTCCATATAGACCGGAACCAGACCACGTGGCT